TAGTGAGGTCACGCGTATCCTGTGAGCATGGAGAAGCCGCGAGACGCGAGACTCGTATCTCGCCTCTTTGCCGCTCCACGCTCTCAGAGTTGGGCAAAGACAAGACACGTTATTTCCGGTGCGTTACTAGAGGTTCAATGGTTATCTCGATTATCTAAACACATTTATTTACGTTGTAAAGATTTGTTTTTAAATCTATGAACTGATGCTATTCCTATTTGGAACGAAATGTATTTGAAATAAAAAAGAATACTGAGTAAGGCTGAGAATCCTAATGTTTATCATGATACTTTAATGCACATGTTCAAATGTTCCCAAAAATCTTCTGATAATCTGCCCGCACCCACCCTCACCCCGCCCCTCGCCACTGAACCGTACTGTTTTCACTCAGCAGCTGGTCAGCGGTCACGTCTATGAGGTAAACAAACCGATCGATTCTGATCACCGTTCTTGTCGATCAGAAAATCAAAATACCAGCGTGATGTTGCCGCGAAGATGAAGCAATTATGTTATTTGATTCGTACTTCACATTCGAGTCGAAGCTTGGGTGGCACAGGCTATTTCTTGCGGTGGAATCGACGAGGGGAATTCAGAAAATTGTAGTGTTTAAATTGTTGGAAGAAATGGTCGCATGAGGATGGTAAGTTTAACGAACAATTTCAAATTTTGCCGCTTAAATTGAAAGTAAAGTTCATTTGAATTGCTTTCGTATGTATTTCTGACGGTTTTAAATCTACCTGCTTGATTTATATCGGTTACGCTTCATGTTGACAAGTCCCTCAAAATGGCGGCCAAACTTGGAGATTGCCGAAAATTAGGTAGGTTCACGGAGTTATAAAGTTCTCGTAAAGGTCGGGCCGCAAAGTTTTTTTCTGTAGTTACCTTTTCTATGGCACCTACTTCCTAGCTATGTTAGTTGGATCAGTTAAGAACGCCTCACTTTTTCAAAAATTTACCTTGAATTTGATCGGTTTTAGCGTGTGTGATTTAGGCGAACCGATAAGGTGTTGTTCAAGTCTTCCTGTTTCCTTGATTGACACGTGATGGTTACGAAAGTCGCCTCGATAGATAAGATAGAGTTAATATACATGGCTGTGGTATTTGTTTTTTGCTGAGTTCCGTAGTTTTTTGTAAATTGTCCTCCAAAGTTGTATGAAATTAAAGTCTTGAAAAGTGTCACGACAAGCCTTCGCTTGAGTGAAATTTAATTTCCGTAAAACTCTGAAAAATAAAGAGATCCGATCAAACTGATTGTGGTTTTAGTATAGGTACATGAATGTCTTACAACACACGAGAAACGAGCGAAATCCGTGTCTCAAGCAAAATCGACCGGACCGCTCTTACAGAGACACTCTCTTAAAACTGGTGCTTTGTGGATTAGTTTGTCCCAATGGAATTAAAATCACAAATCAAGCCACCTAACCACACCAGGCTTGGTTTACAGTTTGGGATGTTGATTGGTCATCAGGACCGAGGGAGACAAGGTAGAATCGGGTAATCAGATTTCACATACGACTAAGCCCTACGCGTATTTACGTCAAATCGCCAATTTCACCCAGGTGTGGAGTGGTACACTTACATAGTAACATATTCTCATTGCATTGATAGCAAAAAAACATTCACGCATAAACTAAACGGCAAAGATTCAAGGGAAGTTTAGTGTGAACGAGTCTTGGAGTGAGTTCTCAGTAAATGACTTATTTATTAGAAAAGGGTTATTCTTCACGTCTCCTCAAGTGACGCCATGTACACCTACCTGTAGTTTGGCCCTCTTAAAATTAAAATCTTAGCACAGCCTTCCAACGATTTCTCTTTCGTTCTGGGGTCTCAATACATTTAAGCAGCTGCCGATGATGTAATTAGCGAAATTGCCAGAAAAGGCGTAAGGCGAAACCTGAACACGAGACCTACTCAACAGACGGCGTTAGACCGGCTTTTACTGAATCTCCTGCTTACTACACATCTACATTTTTTTAAAAAATTTTTTATTTTTATATATATGAACAAGCGAAAGGCTTGTGGACAACATTTGTCAAGCATGTGAAAAATAATTTCCCTTTAAAACAGCGTTTTCAGCTCCTTTCCGACCCATTCTTGAAACCTTCATATGACCAACGGCAATATGTGACTGAAACAACCCTAACTTTTAAATTCGGGCCACTGAGTAAAGAACAAAAAAATCTGTAAATCAATTCAAGTCATAAATCAAGAAAATGCGCAAAGTGGACATGTGTTGTCAGACTGTGACTAGTTGCTTTATCCAGTCGTATTTTACCGCGAGTCTGAAGGGTGGTGTCCCGAAGATTAAAGAACGCCATTGCTTCAAGTTACATTGTATCCATATAGCATCGGGGTCAAAGACTTTGAGACGAGATTTTAGTTTATTCTGCCACTGACTGGTCAACCTTGCTCAAATCAACTCTTTCTCTTCCAGTCCAGTTGTTACAAGTAAGAATCTTTCTCCATTTCGTGTTTTTAATCTCCCTTCTTCTTTCACGATCAGTTGTCGACCTCGTTTGAAGAATGCAAGTTACGTTTTGCTTTTCTTGTTTCTTTTCTTTCTTCTTACATCTTCAACAGCCACTTTTTCATTATCTTCTAAATTCGTGTCGGCTGTGAATACCGAAATAAGACGAACATTTAAACAATTGGCACATGACTAGGAATGGAAAAAAGCAGTTATCTCATTAAAAAAAACATGTGGACCAGAAAACCAGAGGATGGCAGCAGGAAAAGAGAAGATAAAAGACAAACAAACAAACAAACAAACAAACAAACAAACAAACAAAACAAAATAAAAGGAGCCTCAGTTGACACTAGCTCTGTTAAATCACTAATAATACTCTCACTAAAGATCACAAAACGATGTGTTTAGCAACACATCATTTTGTCCCTCAAAATACTCTTGTTTCTCTATTCACTTAATACCTTTGATCCCTGGCATTATAAGGGATCCAGTTTTAGTCGGGTACTTTCCACTAAAACCAGCAGGAATCAAAGGTGTCTACGCTAACCCACACAAGGCTGGAAATCAAGACTGTTTACTAACTTTTCATACTTTCCTTTCACATAGAACTCAAACGTAAGAACCATGGGGACAATAATCCTCACCCCACCCATTTTGATTGCACTAAGATATTATCAGCCTGCAAGATCCATTATTTTTGGTGGGACTGTCAGTACAACCATTGTCTGCCTTAACTAAAGGTTGATTACCTTTCAATTGCTTCAGCTTTACTTGTCGCTCTTTCCTTTCTCCCTGATCTCCGAGATCTTCCAGTCTATAAAAAGCTCTTTTAAGGAAAATAAACTGAACAGGACAGTTTATAAAATGTGACATCAAACCTTCGAGACAGTAAAGTTCCAGAACACCAGTTCCGCCTAAGACTGATGTTGAAGCTGCCAGTCTAGTTAGTCCCAGACCATGTGATCGCACACAGGAGCGTAATGATCGAGAATTTGCATCTAAATGAACGAATCATTTCATCAAAAAACATACAAATCTTCGTCAACTTCGATGTCCATGGCTTTGGCAGAGGTAAGCATACAGTCATTACTTGACTTTTTGCGCCTAAACCTGTGAATATGGTTCGATGGCTTTCATAAGAGGGGGAGTTTAGACAAAGGGAAAGGGAGGGGAGGGGGGGAGGGTTGGAAGGAATTGAGAATGAAGGAGAGAAGATCCGTAACTGCGTGAACAATTCTTTATGCACTAAATGCTGAGCTGTCAAGCTCGACTGTCAAATTGGGCCTTTTTCTTACGCGAAAAAACAAAGAAAAAAAACAACAACCAAAAAAACCCAAGGGCTACCCAAAAGATAAATGCCATATTTCTCTGTTTTTGTTTTCGTTTTTTTCATCTTCACCTACTTGTGTTCTTCTTTGTCAATTTGCTTGGCGAGAGAAATTCTTTTCCTAATAGAGGACATAAATGACACATCAACTGGAAAGGAGTCTAGCTCGTTTCCTGCAACACGAAATTTGAAAAAGAATAAAATCAAGAAAACAAATATGAACAAAAAAATGAAAGAAACAAACGAATGACACGAGAGACTGTAAGTTAACCCTTAAACGCCTATTCATGACTGGCATCTAGTTTCTTCTGACAGCATCACTCCTGAATCAAACATAAAGGTCACGAGAATAAAGGGAACGACCATCTAAAGAAACTCTTGATTGTTAAACAAATTCTCCTTGTTAGTTCCATAGAAAATTCATGGAAAATGGTGTGGAGAAAATGCAAACTGATTTTTAAGGGTGTAAAGGGTTAAATTGTAGTCGGGCTCAGTAAACTCCTAAAGACGATTACGATGTACCTATTCCTCCTAAAATATTGGTTGCGGCTAAAAGAAATATTTATCAACTAGAGGGGTATCATCTTCGTGCGATGACAAATTTCCTTAACCCTGTGATCCATAAGAGTGACCAACCTCCAACTTCTCCTAACGACTGTCACACCCAAGTAAATATTTTTAAAAGGGTTATAAATGTATCAAACACAAGATATTGGGTGCTTAAAATTATCCTCTAACCTTGTTATCAAATGGGTATCCAATCATTCTCCTGTTAACAAAGCTATCCGTACTCGCATTAAGTATGATCTATGGAGGCAATGGTCCTCGAAATGCTCCGAACGCACACGCAAATCTTTTGGAAGAAATGTCCTTCCAATGGCATGAATCCATGAAAGTCAATAAATGTGGTGTTTTGGCAGGGGATTCTGCTTGTTTTTTACCGGACTAATGCACTCGAACGCTTCGCTATTAGCCATTTTGCTAAGGAAAACCCCAGGATAACCCCAACTACGAAAGAACGGAGCAACCATAAAAATGCCTTGCGCACCTAAAAAGATGGAGAACGCGGGTAGTTCGAAGTTGCCGTGAAGGCCAGTTTTGAAGGCCGAAAAAATTAACAAGGTTAGAGGTATGATTTTAAGTACCAAACATCTTGAGTTGATATATTTAGAGCCTTTTTAGCAGTATTTTCTTTAAAACTGCAGGTTCTCTTTCAAGTCACGAGAATAGGGGAGCTGATCACCAACTAAAGAAGCTCTTGATTGTTTGACGAAATCTCCATGTCAACACCTTAAGAAATATATAGAGAACAGTATGCATGGAGAATATGCATACTAACGTTAAGGCGTAAAGATTTATCTAATTAAAAAGGAAATTTAGACGAATGGCACCTTAAACTGAGGGGGATTTGCAAATAACCTTTTAGAGTTTGACTGTTAAAGAGATACGTTGGAAATAATAAAGACACATCACCTCCATTAAGCGTCTTCATAATTTTCTTGTATGATCCCATTTCTTCTGGGCCAACAAGAATGACACTCAGACCTTCCCTGCTCACTCTAGCTGTCCGTCCACTGCAGTGAATGTAAAGCTGTTAACAAACACAGAGAAAGAATTTAGCAACGTAGGATCACATGAGATGGTTGCACTAAAGGTAATACTTACATTGTGGTTACATCATTACACAACAGTTCATTATTAAATGAGATACAACTGAGGACGATAAACAATAACAAACTACTCCTCTCATATAAACTGTATTTGGAGAACAGAGTCAATTTTTTTCCTAAATCAAAACTCATTAACTTAAATGAATTATGTTTTGATTTCGATAGGTGAACGTCACACATTAACTCAAATTGGAAACAAAACAAAGATTTAGAAAGTGAAGATTTAGAAATAAGAAAATAAATGCAATAAAATAAATTTAGAGGTAAAAAAAGAATTCAGGCGTCAACGGCGTTCGAACTTTGCTATCAACATTCTGGTTGAGCTTCTCTTACAGTTGAGACTTGTAGCCCACACCTTGGTTAACGCATGGTTGGTTGAAGCAGTGTGACTTCCGAAGCCTTTTGTCAAGGTAGAGTTTCGCGGAGAACGAAAGCACTGCCGCCAAAAAGCAATCGCTTCCGTTCCCGCCTGCCGCACAGGCTGACCAACTGCACAAGCTAACTAACCGTACACACATACTTACACGTACTTACATCAAGGTCCTTCGGAACTTGATAGTGACAGCTGGTATGTCCAAACCTCTCGTGGCCACATTTGTAGCCAGAAGTAAGCCACTCGCACTTTGCTTAAATCTAACAGGCAAGAAAAAAATCAGCCAACATTTCATTTGCTGGTGTAAGTCCTATCTAGCTTTAAATATTCTCTGAGGGAGGAGAGGGGCGGGTTCAATCAGTCAAGGCGATCCAGTTATAGTCTATAAATAAAGGAAATTCCATTGCTCGGTCAATTCGTAAACTATACTCTCTGTTTTGATGAAAAAAAAATAGTAATAAGATCAGGATGATTCTGATCCAAGGCCACATAGCAAGCGTGTCGCCTAGTGTTTTGCGCAAAGCAAGTTGCGGAGTAAAGAACGTGAAAGACGCAACAGGAAAAAAGCACGTTGTCTACAAAATTAGGTTCCTAATTGTTGCTTTGTTTTGTTGAGTTTTTTGTTTGTTTGTTTTTTGTTCTGGTTTTTGTTTGTTTCGTTTGTTTCATTGTTTTTTGTATTTTTGTTTTTTTCCATCTCACTCAGTTTTCACCCGGCCTGTCTAAATTCTTTAATCTTTGCCTTTGTTGCATGCAGGCGGGCAGAACCCACGGGTTAAAGTCCAAGAGCCTAAACAAAGAGCCCAGTCTCCTCACACAGTCCATGGTGTTGGAGAAAACCAAAGTACGGCCTGGGTACCGGGAAAGGAAATAGTGGAGATAAAGGTCCTAGAAAGAAAATTCAAAATAAATCTGAATGAGGTGATTTTTACAACAACTGTATGTTTCGTAGTTCTCCTTCGATTTCACTTGGTACACCTCTGTGGTTCCGTGGATCATGTTTCCCAGACAATGTGGTGTACATGTAGATGCATTTGGCTCAAACCAACAATAAAAAGTAATAAAAATTGTATCCTGGATCTTGAAGAGTTTCGCTTCCTTGTTAGCTCAACTATTACAAACCTCTTCAATTGCACATGAGATCTTTGCTTCTGTCAGGGTTTCTATGGTTCCTCTCTTGTTGGTGACATCGATAATTTTACAACTGTTCTTCTGCAGCCCAACTTTGTCCATCAGCGACACTAAATATGTTACAAAGGCAACAAAGGCAAAGATTAAAGAATTTAGACAGGCCGGGTGAAAACTGAGTGAGTTGGTCATTCTTTGTGCTTTTTCAAGTTGTGTGGATGGTGTGGTAACTGTTTGTTCCAGATTATCCTGAAGATTTAAATCAAAAGAAAATACTATGTAGCTTTTTTTTTTTTCCCCGTGAGCCAAACTTCTAGAGAAAACCAAAAAGAAGCTTCTGTTCTTAGATATACATAATTGTGCATGTATGGGTAAAGACTGAAAAAATGCATGAGCCCTTGGGACAATGCAGTCTGCTGTCTTCAAAAAATTAAGGACAAACTGCTCTCAAAATGATTTCGATCAATTCCTGTATTTCCATGTAGTTCTTGTGGTGAGTGTTGTTGTTTTTTTGTTGTTGTTGTTTGTTTGTTTCTTTTTTCATTTAAGGTATGACTGGCAGTTATCTTAGTTTTGATTCTCATGTCCAATACACCCAATCTGACTCAGGAGACAAGTCATTCCATTTGAGTCAGGTTGAGGATTATTATTAAGCGTCTTGAAAATCGACTTGTAGTAAGACATTTCCACCTTAAGAGGCACGGTTTATTCAGATTTCCAGTATCACAAGATGACTTAACCACTAATTAACTTCTGGTGGGTCGATTTGTGAACGACTCAACCCAATTTGGATGTATTGGACAACCCTCAACATTTAATAATTAAAGATAAGTTATAATAAAAAATAAATAAACAAAATAATTTAAAAAGATAATTTTTCCCAATTTCTCGTAAAATACAAGGGTAATTTCACCACGTGCTTGAAGTGAATCTTACATTTGTATCTTCTAAATTTAACTACGCGGTATGTTTTAAAGCACTTTAAGCAATTCACCTCCTACAGCGGCCATTCTTTTATTTTCTTCTTATGAGCTGGTCCACCTGCACCAATTCCTGCTAGCTCTTCTGGATGATAATCTTCCATGACTTCAAGGGACATAAATCCATCCATTTCGCCCGCAAAGAACGAAGGATCGTCCAATTCTAGTGGTTCCCATTTTCGCTTCTTCCCTTTCGAATTCTTCTCTGACATTATGGAGCAATGAACTAGAAACTGAATCTAAACGTTTTTTTTAAATAACAAACAACCGTTTTGGTTTATCCCTAGAGAATTAATAAAAACACTATCACGTCGTCCGCCATTATGGATTACCCGCCAGAGAAGGACTGGACAAGAAATTGTACTGCGCGCATATTCAAACGAGAGTCATGCGCTGATTTATTGCTAAATGACTTTTCTCCCTTCGCCGAGTTCACTGAAACCTTTGTGAAACGTGAATGAAAAGACCAACATGGCGAAAGAACACCGTACATTTAAAGAGGAGTGCAGTTATATTGAGCGCTTAAACGAAAACTCGTTTCTTATCAAGAAAGGCTTTGTCCCAAACATGAAGGTAAGTGAACGCGCGCCAAAAATCAGATCGTAAGCTCAACTCCAACTGATTGGCGTGCGCGTCAAAATACACGTCTAACGATGTCATACTTGAGAATGTTCATAATAAGCTATGGTCATCGAAATAAATCCCCTTACACCTGCCATATCCGTCAAAGTAATTTCCTTCTTTGAAATAAGTTTTGTCACAAGGAAAATTGTTTCTGGGACAACTGGGTCCAGGAACCTTTTCTGCCCACGTTATGATCAAATCCCCGTCCCCTGCCCCCCTCCACGACTCTCATGTCAGAACTATTTTCTTTTATTTTTTTGTTTGTTTCAATCAGTCAATTCACGAACTACGGTCGAACCTGTCTTAGGTGGCACCGTATTGAGCACTTGCACTGTAGTAGACGCCATATTCCCGTGGGTGACTGCTTAAAACATGGTCAGCGGTAGTCATGGCGGCTGGTTGTAAGTTTTCCCTCTCTCCTGTCTTTACCGTTTTTTTAGTTTGTCTCTTAGCCTGCAATAGTTTTACTTTCTTCAAAATACGACTATCTCATCCCAAGACTTGTCTGCATCCTGTTGGAGGCGTCATAGGCTTGGAGACGACTCGAAACTTCTTTGTTGCACTGACATCGCGAGTCCGCCATCTTGGAACACGTGCGAAGGGATATTTTGGTACAGACCTAACTCGATATCCCAATTCTGTTTCTACATTTAATATCTCAAGATTGGTACAATGTGGAGACATCGAAATAAACCCTGGACCAGGACAGTCATTATCTCCGGGATTATCCACAACTCGCAAAAAACCTCTTTGGAAGTGCCCTTGTGATGTATGTACGAAGCCGGTTCGCTCCAATCAGAAAGGGATTCTCTGCGATGGTTGTAACAAATGGTTCCACCTAAAGTGCATTACCATGGATCTACAGGCTTATATTGACTTGGGGTCTTCTGATGAGCAGTGGTTCTGTGACAAAAATTGTGGGTGGCCTTTTAACTTCACTGATTCATTCTTTGAATCGTCCTTCTCAACTGGGCAGAATGTAAGCTTAAGCTCTGATGTCTCTGCGGAATCTTCTCCTCGCTCTGCTAATGGCTTCTCTAAGTGCTTACTATTAAATACGAGGAGTATTCGAAACAAGATCAACGACCTAAATGCTCTGTTATTAATGGACTCCTTTGACATTGTTGCCTTGACGGAGACTTGGTTAGACAATGAATTTGATGACCGTGATCTACATCTTGAGGGTTATAGTATCCATCGTCGGGATAGACGTGGTAAGCGTGGTGGAGGAGTGTTGCTCGCAACTAAATCACACCTGCCATGTGTACGGAGACACGATCTTGAGGTAAATGCGGAGATGCTAGCCTGTGAATTAAAGACCAGTAATACACGATGTCTATTATTTGCAGTTTTTTACAGACCACCAGACGTCGAAGAGACGTTCTTGGATGAATTCAGGAGATTTCTCAATAAAGCTTCTGGTACAGGAATCGCTGATTTAATTATCACTGGCGATTTTAATTTTCCCTGTGTCGATTGGTCTACTGGATCACCAACTAGTTTAGACAATTTGACTGAAACTTTTTGTGAAATCCTGGATGACCATTTTCTCACCCAAACAAACCCATATATCACCCGTCCCAGTGCCACTAATACCTTATCATCTGGTAACATCTTAGACCTTGTGTTGACGAATCATGAATCACTCATCGAAGGAACTACTGTGCACCCAAATGGATTTGATTCAGACCATTTCCCAGTCTGTTTCGCGATCAAGAAAAAGTTCAACAGGCCCAAAAACAGTCAAAGATTAGTTTACCGATATGATAAAGCTGACATTGATGGTCTAAGAAATACATTCTCTCACATTTTATGGGATTCCTATATATCTTGTGAGGACATTGACTCAGGTACGGCGAATTTCCAAGATCTTGTTCTCGCGGCAGTCAATCAACATGTACCAAAGATGAAGCTTAGACGCAAGCCAAGACCTCCATGGATAGATAAAGAGGTCTTAAAGTTAGTGAGGAAAAAGAAAGTCTTGTGGAAGCGTTTAAGGGCCAATGCTTCTCTTGAAGTGACAACAAAGTTTAAATTTCTTAGGAAACAGACCAAACGTCTTATCTCCTTTAAGTATTTCCAGTACTTAAAGTCTCTATCGGATAAGCTGAAGACTAATCCAAGGAAGTTTTGGTCTTTTCATTCTCTTAAATCCAAGAGCAAGAGACTGCCAGAAGTAATAACTTACTCTGGCAAAGCCAGGTCTGCTAAAGATCCTGTGGAAAAAGCTTCCCTGTTCAATGAATTCTTCAGCTCCGTGTTCTCTACAAAAACATCAAACTCTGACAGCTCTCATGTTGATGTGATCAACCCTAACTTATTGATGGATATATTCACTTCGTACAGTGAAGTAAAGAATATCCTCTGCAACTTAGACATTAATAAAGCAACTGGAGTAGATGGCATTCCTGCGAGGATATTGAGGGACTGTGCAGAGGAGCTATCTTACCCATTGGTTCTACTGTTTAATTTGTCGTTCAGGTGTGGGAGAGTTCCTTCTTCATGGAAAAGAGCTAATGTCACTCCTGTGTTTAAATCAGATGCTAAAGATGTGGTAGAGAATTATCGATCTATATCCCTGTTATCGATTCCAAGTAAATGCCAAGAGAAGATTGTATATAATGCCATATATCCTCATGTGGCCCCTTACCTGACAGATTGGCAACATGGTTTCATAAGGGGTCGCTCGTGTGCTACCCAGTTGGTATTAACACACCATCAGTGGACAAAGGCCTTGGATGATGGACTACAGGTGGATGTTGTGTTCTTAGATTTTTCTAAGGCATTTGACAGAGTATCACACGATATACTCCTTTTGAAGTTGTGTAATTTCGGCATCTCTGGTAGCCTACTAAGATGGTGCGAGGATTATTTGACCCACAGAGAGCAAAGGGGTGTTATTGAGGGACAGAGTTCTGCCTGGTCTGTCATCCCATCCGGTGTACCACAGGGCTCCCTACTAGGGCCATTATTTTTTGTAATATTCATTAGTGATTTGCCTAATGTGGTTATGCCTGGAAACACAATCGCATTGTACGCAGATGATTGTAAAACATCAAGACTGATAAACTGTACATCAGACCAACATGATTTTCAATCTGACCTGAATAATCTACACATCTGGAGTCAGCGAAATCTAATGGATTTTAATGTAAAGAAATGCAAACTGATGCGTATCACGAAAAAAAGTATGCCTTTTCGTTTTGACCTTAAGCTGAATGAGAGCTCTCTGGAAGAAACATCTGAATTCTGTGATCTTGGATTAGTTACTAGTAACAAGTTGTCCTGGAATGCTCATGTTGATAAGATATCAAGCAAGGCTA